GGGACTGCCAAAACCTTCAGATTATTCAAACGATCCCCATCTTAAAAAGCTTTTAATTATCGACGATCTGATGCACGAGTCGTTGAATCATGTTGTAGTAGATTTTTTTACAAAAGGTAATTATCATAAAAATATTAGTGTAATGTTTATAACGCAAAATATTTTTCACTAGTCAACTCATTCGCAAGACATAAGTCTGAACACGTTGTATATCATAGTGTTTAAAAACCCTCTCGATCGTGCGCAAATACAACATTTGGCGAGGCAGATATATCCAGAAGATCCAAAATTTGTACGAGAGGCGTATCAAGACGCAACAGCTAAGGGTCATGGTTATCTAATGATTGATTAGAAGAAAGACACTTTAGATGAGTTAAGATTCAGTGCAAGTATATTTCCCGACGACAAGTATCAATTTGTTTACCTGCCAAAATATGTTACGAGTGCATTTGCGTATCTGGGTTGAGTTAACAGATAAAATAGTTAGTAGTAACCCTCAGCTCTCAGTTTTCTTTTGACTATGAAGCCATCAACATCGAAAAACGGGCATTTTAAACAACCCCCTCGTCGTGCAGACGAGTCTCGCGAAGCTCTGTTCGAGAGACGGTACATTGCGATTTTAGAAGCTCTCACTCATCTAAGCAGAGAACAGAGAGCTGCATTGTTAAAAAAAGGAGATGAAAAACTAATTAACTGCTTGTGCAAGTGTGTTTTAAACGTTCTCAAAGATGTTGTTTCTCTGAAAAACAGTCAAAAAAGAAGTTTAAAAAAGTTTAAAAGCATTTTACGACAATTGATCGCTAAGAATAGAGGTAAACATTTGTGGGAAAAAAGAGGAGAATTATAGTTCAAAAAGGTAACGGTTTTTTACCGTTAATATTACAACCTATTCTAAGTGAAACATTATTAAGAATATTGTAAAAATAATAAAATGGAAAGAGGGAAAAAAATGATTTTACTGTCTAAAGACCAACTCGAAAGAATAAAAAGAGAAAGCACTACCGTAGGGGGAAACCCCGGTCCTACAACTCCTACAGCCGCAAATAATTTTTTCACACATTCTATTTTACAAACCACACAGGCAGCCAGAGATAACTTGAGTCGATTAGACGACTCGATAAAAAAAATTCTAGATTTAAATTCGTATAGCAATGAATACGATGAATTGAAGAAATACTTGAGAGTTTTACAAAGGTATTTATACTTTATCGATGAAAAGCGTGAGCCAATGCAGATTGCTGAAAACAAATTAAAAAAAATCACTACTACAACAAATAATTATGGAATGAGGGAAGAAACGATTGTCAGTACCTTACCTTAAGTGTACCAACAAAAATCTATGCTGCTTTTAAAACATTTTAAAGGATACAAAAAAAATTTTAAGTGGAATAGTACAGGTAGAGTGATTTATAAGGGTAAAAAAAAATTAATCGTGGGACCCATGGTAGAAGTGAAACTTTAAGTATCTAATATTGAACTCATTTTATACAAAAAATTATATGAGAAGCAATCATATGTGTTATTGCTACGAGTTAAATACTGTAATTTATTCGCAATTTATAACTCTAATTTCATAAAGATAGAGCGAAAATACAAATTTGAGAATATGTAATCACAACAAATGAAACCGCTATTTGTGTGTCTCGATATTTTATTTCCCCTTTAGGATACCCGTAAAAAATCGGTGTTTTTGGCCTATTTTGCTTCTCCGTCGAGATATGATGATTTTTCTTGTTTTATGAGGTTCCATTTATATAAAAACACTTTAAATTAATTTGTGGACATTTCTATTAATTTTCAAGGTATACTATAATTTTTTCGTAATTTATAACTCATATGTCCAGGAAAGTACAACTAGAATACGAATTTAAGGTCATTAAATAACAAATAATACCTCATTACACACACACACACACACACACACACACACACACACACACACACACACACACGTGAAAATTTGAGCATGTAGTAGCAAGGGCAGCGAGGCAGAGAGAAAGGCCGTCCCACGTCCCACTCTACGCGTATATGCACTGCTCTGGTGGCAAGGGGAACGAGACAGAGAGAGAGAGCGGCTAGAGTGGTAGGGGGCTCAGAAATAACGTGTCATTCGAAAAAATTCACAACGTGCCATAAGAAGTTTCACTTCAAAAATTGATGGGTCAAATAACATCGATTTAATTAATGATGCTGCAAGGCGAAGGAAAAATGTTAAATCGGTGGGGAGAAAAATTTTTGCTAAATTACATCGGGAGATAAACACTTTTTAAGAACTCGTGGGAAATACAGGGAAATACAGACGTCTTAAAAATCGTAGATCATGACAGTTTGAGCTTGCTGTTGGATGGGACCAGTAATATAAAATCGCTCGGTGAAGACGAAGAAACGTTTAAACACGAGACTTTTTCATCACCTTTGAAAAAAACTGTACACGATAACAAATCTAATGTAGTACATTCATCTACACCAAAATCAAGCGGTGTTAAAAGCTGGTTACGATATTAATAAATAATGAATGTGTTAGAGAAACAATATTTTACGCCTAACCATGAAGCAGCACTTTCTGGGGTCCGCAATTTAATATGAGTAAATAAAAACAAAATCTCCCCCGAGAAAATCAAAGAGTGGCTGAAAAAACATAATGCTTATACTTTACATAAATCTATTCGGCGAAAGTTTCCACGGTTGTTTTACGATGTTAATGCTAGAAATAGATTGTGGGAAGCAGATCTCATTTAACTGACGTCATTAAAAAACTACAACGACAGAGTGTATTTTATTTTTATTTTAATTGATGTATTAAGCAAATTTTTATAGGTGCAATCTTTAAAAGATAAAAGTTGCCGTAATATAACAGCAGGTCTTAAAAAAATTCTTGAAAATAGTCAATCTCGCTCACCCTTTATATTACAAACGGATCGAGGGACTGAATTTTTAGGCAGTGAATTTCAGCGCTTTTTGAAAGACAATCTTATAGAATTTCAAGTTGCCAGAACCCTGATGTTAAAGTGGCCGTAGTAGAGCACGTCATTTAAACGTTTAAAGAGCGTATGTACAGATATTTTACATACAAAAATACATACCGTTACAAAGACGTTTTACAAGATTTAATTAGTGGTTACAATAATACCCCCCACTCTACAATAAAATTAACACCTAGCAGCGTAACAATATATAATGCACATGTAGCAAGACAAAATTTAGTCAACTCGAGAAAACCTCGCGCAAAACATAGTCACAGTTAAAGTAAAGATAAACACAGAGTAGGTGATTATGTATGCATAAGCCGTGATAAAAATGTGTTTAAAAAAGGTCCAGTAAAAACTTGAAGTAAAGAGATATTTAAAATTACTCGAATTTCAAAAAGACAAAATTTACATGTGTATGAGCTTAACGACTTAAATGGTGAAAAAATTAAGGGGTTTTCTTACTCTCAAGAACTCAACCCTGTTCACAAGGAGCGTGTCAGCGAGCAGGAGCACAAAATTGACAAGATCTTGAAAACCAGAGGAAAAGGAAAAAACAAACAACACTTTGTTGGTTGGGTAGGATATCCTGAAAAATTTAATTCACGGGTAAATTCGAGGGATTTACAAAACAATGCACCATAACGTGTTTACGATTACTTCACCTAGTAACAGTAGTATAAAATATTTTACGAGCAACACAACAACAAATTTTTCTACACAGTTACCCCGTGAAATTGAGCTAAGCTGTAAATGGGAGGTAGGAATTTCCGAGATTCACGTATCATTCACTATTTTGCATGTTTGACGAGAAGAGGCAATGATAAGCGAGCCAGGTGGAGAAAAAAAATATTGTATTCAACACGGTACCTATGACTCTGTACACAGTTTATGCGAGGTAATAAATAGAAAATGGTTGGAATATTATTATAAAGATAAGAAATGTCAGCAGCTTATTTATAATCATTGAGGTGGGTTTGTATTTATTGGTTTTCCAATAACAGGATATAGATGTACAAAAACGTGTGGAAAAACCCCTGTTTTGTCCACTACAGTAAAACGTATTATTGGGTTCGAGTAAGGGCTGACCGAAATCGAGCGTGACCGTGCCGAAATAAGAGGGGCTTACAGGTTATTGTTTCACGGTAAACAGCCTGTAAGCTTATCAAGAGCGGTACCTGATCAACTTTTTATCTATTCTAATATATGTGAACCGTGTATTAATGGTGATACGTTTGCACCCTTCCTGAATATAGTAAATTTAGCCACTCAGGAAATTCATTTCGGGAGCACAATTGTCAAGAGGTATACTCCACCAGTCTACTCACCCCTCCTCAAAAATAGATTTCATGCAATTGATATAGATATAAGAGATTAATTTGGTAAACCAATATCATTTGAGTTTGGGACACTCAGCGTCGTGTTACATTTTAGGACAGTTTTCTTTTAAGCGAATCGTTACAAAATGGTTTCTTACGAGGGGTATAACACACAGCACGGGAGCGGAAGAGGAGTCAAGCATGTGTTTGCGGGGTCACATAGACAGAGAGGGCACGGATTAGGCTCTTTTTTCACTGGACTATTTCGAAGTGCTATGCCCTACATAGTCAAAGGTGCTTGTGCCGTTGGGAAATAAGCTTTACGAGCGGGAGTGAATATAATAGACGATGGTGGAGAGAGCAAAATACCGTTTAAAAACGCATTCAAGAATCGGATAAACGAATCTGGTAAAATTTTAAAACGTAAAGCTACAGAAAAAATTCTAAAATTGATGGAAAGATCGAGATATAATGCTTTACCATATAAAAAAATAGCACAGTGTCGACGTAGAAGCGGTGGTGTAAACACCTCATTAGAAAGTGCGAAAAAAAAAAAGAAAAGGTCGATCGAAAGTAGCTAAACGAAAAATAGGTGCGCGTAAGAAAAACAGTAAGAAGAAAAAACCAAACAGAAAAGTAAATAAAGTTGGTTGTAAAAGAAATAAAAAGGCGGTAAAAATAAAAAATCAAGACCTGTAGATATTTTTGGATAATCATGTCTTTCCTACATGGTCATACGGATCCTTTTCTGAAGAGCGAGTTGGATTTATTTTCCGTTCCTTTCACGCAGACAGCATTAGAAACTTATCGATCGGTGCATTACAAACCTGTTTCGACATTAAGCGACGAGAGTCCAATAGAATTCGTTATCAGTTCTCAAAACGAGGATTGTATCGACTTGGCCCATACGATGCTCAGAGTGAATGTCAGATTGACACCTTACGACAAGGATGGGGATGCGCTTGTAGCTCCAGTAAACAGTTTTTTACACTCGATATTTAACCAGGTTGACGTTTACTTTAATAAAAAACTCGTAACTCCTCCAAATAATGCTTACCCATACACAGCATACATTGAAACTCTTTTAAATTATGGTCCTGCTGTAAAATCATCACATTCGTCGACAAATCTGTGGGAAACAGATATTGCTGGTGAAATAGAAGAATTACCCGGTTCAAAAACAAATTTAGCTCTTACTAAGCGTCAAAAATATTTAAAAGATGGAAAGACCGTACACTTAATGGGTCATTTACATTGTGACGCATTCAATCAGGATAAATTATTATTAAATGGCGACGAAGTTCATTTACGTCTAGTGCGTGCAAAAGATGCTTTTTGTCTCATGTATGCTTCAACGAAAAATTATTCCGTCAGCATAAGCGAGGCTACACTTCTTGTTCGGCGAGTGAAAGTTAGCCCTACAGTTTTGATTGCACACGCAAAAACTCTGGCAAGCACTATGGCAAAATATCAAATTACGCGCGTTGAAGTCAAATCTTTTACCCTACATAGTGGCATAAACGGCGACTTATTAGATAATGTTATCCTCGGACAACTTCTGAAAAGAATAATTTTAGGTTTTGCTGACAACAAAGCCTTCAATGGGGATCGAAAGATGATTCCTTTCAACTTTTAAAATCATTCTATAAATTTCTTGTTGTTGTACGTTGATATTGTACAACTCCCAAGTAAGCCACTACAACTGACTTTTACAGGAAGCACACCTATGTACGTGGAAGCATATCATACTTTATTTTTGGGGAGCGGGATCTATTACATAAATGAGGGAAATAGTATTCACAGGGAAAACTATCCCAACGGGTATTGTCTGTTTGCATTTGATCTTACACCCGATCTTTCAGCGCATTTTGCAGGTCATTGGAATTTAGTAAAGAATAGTACAATACGAATAGAAGTACGCTTCGAGGCAGCTCTCACGAAACTATAAATTGTGTTTTATATGCTGAATTTGACAACATATTGGAAACTGACTCAAATCGTCAAGTAGTTGTGGATTTTAACTCATAAAAATTCACACATTATTTATTATGGACTCGTCGCAACTACATAGATCTCTTTGCAGTATGCATGCAGCGACGACAGGAGTATTCCCTGCAGATCAGTTACCTTTTGTTTGGGCGAGACCATGCGCTTTCATAGTTAACACCGATGAAAGTTCTAAGCCAGGCACGCATTCGGTAGCTAAATATGTCGATATTGAAGGTCATGGAGTGTACTTTGACAGCTATGGTCTGCCTCCCATGGTACCCCAGCATATTGGTAGACTCAAAAGAAATTGTGTTACGTATCATTGGAATGTACAACAGCTTTAAAATATTAATTTTAGCATTTACGGAAATTACTGTATTGATTTTCTATTTTTCATGAGCAATAACTATTCTTTAGGCATGTTTTGCTAATTTTTTTCATCAGATACTCTTACCAACGATAAAATAACTGTAACCTTTTTTAACCGTATCACTAGACGTAAGAATTTTGAAAATAATCGCATTGTAAGCAACATATGTACTCAAACTAGCAAACCTAAGAGTAATCGTAGAATAGCACATTTTTTTTTAATTTATATCAACTCATATGTAAAACTTAAGTGTGTTTTTATACAATATATGTGTTAAATAAATTGGAATTGTTTTTATTCAAAAAACCTCGCTCATAACCCACTCCCTTAACCTTCATGATAATTTCAAATTTTTAGCAATAGTAGTAGCGTAAGCCGTTTTTTTGCACTTTTGAATTCATGGATTTTTACAGCTTATAAACGGGGGAACCCCCTTAATTTTCACTCCGCTAAAAAGAAAAAAAATTACTGACCAAGCAATGACGGTAACATCTTTTCTTTGCGAGGAAAAAATTGTTGTTACCATCCTAGCAACATTTAAACTACGCGCGCCTTTTTCGGCTTATTAGGTCACGTGCAAAAATTATTGTTACCAACCAATATCGGTAATTATGTTTAAAGTACGCGCGAAACTCTTACTGGGTTATGTCGGTAATTACATTTTTAAATTACTCGCGAAACTCGTGTTGGGTTATTGGTCCGTTCCCCTGACTCTCCCATCACGTGACCCCGGGGAAACGGTCCCCGGCCACGCCCCTGGCGCCATCCGTATGACATTTATCTATGTCTGCCGTATGACATATATATATGAAACTGTCTGGAAAAAGCTTCCCCTTACTACTAACGTATGCAGTAAAAACTCATTGGTCTTTGTCCATTTTTGTTGTGACTAAGGTACAAATCTAATCACCAATAGCTAGAGTATATAATCCTTATATGCTTGAGTGGCACATAAACCTTATTGTTTACCGGTGAAAGCTTTCATTAGTGAAATTGAGTTGCAGACGTGAGTTGGAATGTAAAATTTGATTTTCAATGATCGATTATCGTACTAAAGGGATCAATATATTTGTATAAGATAATATGTTAAGTTAAGTCGACAACATTAAACACAATTTAACATTTTAAGTTTCGGATTTTATTGCAGCACGTGAGTATGAGTACCGGACACGATCTGAGCAAGTTACAGCAGAATCAGCTGTGTATAATACATCGCTGTGCATTCAAGGGACTCGGATTCTTTTAGGTAATTATTTAACAAACAGATTGAGCCAAAAACCATTTATTGTTAGTGAAAACACATAAAGTGCATAAATTTAATACCAAGCGGCCGTGTGTGGACAGCAAGGTGGAATCAACGATAGTGATGATGTCACTGAGCAGGAAGCTGCGTCAAGACACAGTTTATTTTAGGCGTTGCTTGAGCGTATTAAGGTTCTTGCGACTTTAGCGAGTGCAGAATTGGGCGTGAATAGCTTTTACAAATTCCTGATGCAAGATACGATTCATATTCTGATCGGGAGGGGGAGTTTCGACGATCTCGTAGAGTGGTTCACTCATAAGAAAGTGACTTAGTGTGAGAACGTCAAGGTCGTTAATGTCCCTAGAAAGCGGCGTTAGGGGCTTGCTGTTAAGGACCATCTTAATACTAGCGAGGACTGTGGAGACTTCTTTGTAGGTAAGATGACGAGTGCCCATAAAACACGCCGGAGATGGCTTGTCACGGATCTCACACCAGCCAATCAAAGATCACCAAAATAAAAAGGGGCCTGGGGGATAAACTGCCACAAGATGCCTTGGACGATAAGAGCTCCCACTATGACATTTCCTTGAAGTTTGACTTTACTGCAGGGCTGCTTGCAGCTCTTGATCGGCTCGGTGGAAGTCAATTGCATTGTCACTCCAGAATTTGGTTGGCTGACTATATCAGCTTGTAAATTGGGTAAGCTCCGCCAGGAATGACGCTGCCGAAAGGTCGCCAACCAATACCACATGCATAGCCTTAGTAGGCAGACAAATAAAGAGGGCTACATAGCCTTTGATAGTCTAAACCTGTCGTCCCTTGGCAGCCAAGATATTAAAAGGGCCAGCGTAGTCAACGTAAGTTCGGCTGAATGCATGGAATGGTGTAACCCCTGACCGTGGGAGGGGTGTTATCAGTTGCGTTGCCAGTCACGCTTGCAGGCTTGCGCAGAGAAGGCACTTTCGAAACAAAGCCTTAATTCTGCTCTGGCCACCGTTAATAATGGCAAGCCAACCACAGGGATTGAATAGGCGAGCAATGGCTTCGAGTAAAGTCCGTTTAGTATCTTTAGCATGAGTCAGGGGGGGGAGGAGTTAAGCCAAATACTGTCCAAAACCAGGTCCCGGCTAACTCCAAGCTCGCCTACGAGCCTGTCTGCACTAAGTTAATGCCAGGTTGAGCAGAGGCGAGCCTCCTTAGGAATATCTGCTAAAAACTCAGCAGAGTTGGCCACCCATTTCCAAAGCAGAAGCCCACCTGCTTGCATGAGTGACACGAACTCGTCAAAAAGCCAAGGTGCTGTGTCAAGATTGTGGGCACCAGATGGGATGTCATCCGCGTACCGGTCGTTCGTGACAATGGGCACAGGTTTAGCCCATTCAGATCTCTCATTCTTCCACAGCTGCTAAATAGCACGTCGCTTTAAATATGGCGAGCAAGAAGCACTGTTAGTTACGATGAGAAGTTGGTAGTTAATAAGTGGCATGCTTGGATTGGAGCTCCAAACAACGTGCTGAAAATCAACGTCACACCAATCAATCCAAATCTGACAAAAAAAATTCTTGACATCAGCGCAAAAAGCAATGCGATGCTGTCTCCAACTTAGTAAGATGATTGGTAGTACGATTTGGAGCCTTGGTCCAAGATGCAGGACATTGTTGAGACTGTAGCCACTAGAAGTGGGATGAGATGCATTGAGTACAACGTGTACTTTTCGCTTTTCGTCGCCATTCTGCTAAATGCCGTGGTGTGGAGTGTCGTACACAGGTCCATTCGTAGACGCTACTTGAATGATGGTCAGTGTGCTTTTATAGCTAAGGGAGAGGTATTCATCCATGAATTTTTTATACTAAACCACCATATCCGGATCTTGTTGAATCTAATGTTGCAGAGATCGCAGTGAAGCACCCCCTCCTACACAACACGTCACACAGACCGCACGGCTCATGGCCACAATGAACTCTTGATCTTTATGGAAGTCACACGTAAAAAGTTCCCCAACCTCACGATAGTATGACACTTAGATCTGTGTGCGATAAAGGAAGCATCCACCTGCAAGCAAAATTTTACGTACATAAATACTTCCGATGTTAAAGCTGTGAAGAAACGACGCTTAATGCTCAATCAGGTTCGAAAGACCAAATATTAGAAATCACTTCATTAAAACAACAGTACAACTTAAGACTCGCTTTTGTAGGTTTGACTTGCCGTAATGGCTGATCGTTGGGTTGGACCAAAGCGTTGCTGCAGGCTGCTACTGTCAGACTGACACCAAGGGTGCTGAGCTCTCGCTCATGTACTGACTGAGATTCTCCTAGCTTAATGGTGTCGATCAGTGAGAAGTGAGAGAAAAAAGCGTGTCTAAGGCGATTGTTGGTGGAGGATCACGAGGTAACGACCAAACAGTGGTTATAATATTTAATTTTTAGTTTTAGGATTGTATTTTTAAAAAATTACGTCACTAGCTTCTCTTAAGCTGTTATACATCATAGAAAAGGTAATATAAAAAATAAAAAAAATTTAATCTTATGAACATCAGATCTGTTGAAAATTTTTTTACTATTGCCCCCTTTATTTCTCAAATTTCATGAAACAACAGTGAGTAAGACTCATCACAGTTGTCGCTTGTTTTTGCTGTATGCACTCATAACTATAAAGCTTTTGTCAGTTTTTTTATCCCTCGTTTCGTAGGTGCATATTCAGTACACTCTTTTCACGCATCTCCAAAGTGTGTACCTATGTTCCCATTTCTACCTTAGTCCATTGCACATACTTAGTATACACCTTGCATGCTTTGTAAATAAAGAAAAAAACATATGTGTACCTGATTAGACCACTTGGCCAGGATTGGGCACTTGAAGCAGTGGAAAAAAGCAAACTTGCGTCAGAGTATTGCAGAAAATAATGCTTCTGTCTATGATTTTGGCTAATCACTAAAGAAACTTAAAAATCAAAAGTGTTTTTCTTAAATCTACAGAGACTGTCTAAAAATCTATAAGACCTGGAAAGGTGGACGCGCCTTATTTCAGTACGTCCTCTGGGTCTCTCGTCTACCTGGGTTGAGCTCCTCAAGAAAAAAATTTGCTCGTACAATTTCCTGATCTTTTATCTGACCACATTTCTTACACATAGCCTCTCTCACCCACAGGCACATTCTTTACTTTTAAATTTTACGCAGCTTTCCAATCTCTTTCTTTATCTCTATCTCTCTCTTTCCGAAGGCTTTTTAGTCATGGTAGAGGCTGTATTATTATCATTATTATTATTATTATTTTTATTATTATTGTTATTACTATAATTGTTATTATAATAAACGTTATCTTTCTTACATTGTTATCATTACAGACTTTTGTTTTTGTTTATTTAATGATGTCTTTTTAAATTTTTAGTTTTTGCAACTTTTAACTTTCCAAACTCAGCAAGTTACGTACTGCTCACATGTAAGTGGCCTGTATGCTAACTAATGTACCCTTATTTCAAGGCTTGTATTTAGTACAGGCTATTATTGATCACAAGTCCTTAGCCTTATAAAACACTAATCTAATCTAAATCTAATCTCTTTCTCTTCATCTTCCTATACAAAGGCCATTTGTATGGGCTCTAGTCCGTATCATCCCTCTCTTATCTTCAACTCCTACTCAATTTAAAATATCTTTATCCTGATTCCTGCATACCTCTAGCTCTTGACTACTACGCTACATTTAGTGACTATACACTCTCTCAATGTTCTTTAACTCTGTCATTTTCTTGCACCCAATGTCTAAGCTACCCTACTTTCTGCTACTCTCTATTTCTCTTTCTGTCCTACTCCTACATCCTACTTCTAGTCATAAAATCTCTCTTTCTCTCTCTTTTGTTTCCCCTACTTGCTCCCTCGTCCTCGCCCATCCACACACACTCAATGGAGTAGTGCACAAACATTGGATGATCGGCGTTCCCCTGCATTTACCAATGATCTCATGCACACCCCCTCTACTCGTCACACACACATACATAATCACGCACACACGCGCCTATGCACACACACACTACGTTTAACGTCTCATCACATTTGGTGACCAAAAAAAATTGTAAAATTAATTTCTCAAAAACAAGAATAAAATAAGGCACAACGTTCTTCAATTAGGTATCTCTAAGCCAAATGTCGCATTCTGTTTGTCTTAGTTACCATAACTGAATATATATGTATATATTTATATATATATGTATACATGTATTACTTAAAGCACTTCTGACATTAAAAATAAATATGCAGACTATCCTCTTAAGGTGGTTGACTACCTATGGTTGGGAGTACGAGAGACAGAGTTCTAAATTTGTGCCTTTTTATTGTTAAAAATGCGTGAGCATGCCCTGTTATTTTATAGTAAGTCATATTTATATTAATACAAGTTGTATACTTTTGGTTATTGTCTCTCTATCTGTGGCGTCTACTGCAGCAGCTCGAATTTCTAGACAAATACGGAGCATTGCTAGATAATTATGTCGTCAGCTCTTTCAGTCACCTCCGCTGTCCAAGCCCTTTCATAGACACTGACCGTGTAATGCAAGGAAGGCCCGCCTGCAAAACTCAACCCTAGCCAAATCACAAAAGCATTTGATCATTCTGCCTGTCAAGCATCAAGCGATTTTTCTCTTAATTTACGAGATACACTTAGCTACAATCCATGGAGATCCTCTTCTCAAACTTAGCTCCCCGAAGAGGCAATTTTGCCTTCTGCGTGAGCGTAACACTGTGAAGCACATCGTGCGCCATCGTGTCACTTGTACCAGATATCAGAGAGGCTATCGAAGCAACAAACGAATGAGTAAGCGAGCAAGCTCAACTGTACCATTGCTCGCGCACACATTTTTTACTAACTCACGTGCATTGCTATAGCTCACTCACTCACTCGTTCGTTGCTTCAATAGCTTCCCTGTCAGCCAGGATAAATCGGTTGACGGGCTCCTTACCCCTGGGTCCAGCCCTGATGTTTTCTGACTGATACTGGAGTAGACTACGCTGGTTCCATAAAGCTTCTCTCGGGTGAGGTCAAAAAGCTCTCGAGGGTTATCTAGCTATGTTTGTGTGTCTTATTCCAGAAGCCATTAATATCAAGATAGTCTCCAACTGTTTGGCTCGAACTATTCTCACCATCTATCAACGATTTACGGCTTGATAAGGATTGTGTAGCGTTCACTACTGTGGCAACTGGACTACTGTTCAAAAAGCTGACTCAGAGCTAAATTTAGAGTATATTGTAGAGATAATTTATCATAGGATTATTATAAAATGATCATTTTTAGAGACCCTTCACACCCTCTAAATGAACTTATGATTTTTCGTAAGATACCTTTATGATAGAGATATAAGCGGCTATTTCACAACCCTCCTTCGTTAAAAATTCAGATTTTTTTAAAGATATCTAGAATTTTTATATTTGGCTACCAAAAATAATACGTCCGAGATATCCACATTAAGGATATTCACAAGGGTCAACCCGTCCGAAGTGCAATGGACAGGCCTTTCCCTGGAGAAACCGCCTTGTTGATCACGGTTATCTCTACGCCAGGTAAGTACCTTGTCTACCACTGTATAATAACGTTTTAGGTTATACCTTGTCTACCAATGTATAATAACTCCAATTTTTGTTTCTTGTATTTTATTAGTTTCCGTCTAAATAACAATAAATTTAATTATAAATAAAAAGTTTTTAATTAACAGTTGTTGACGAGGTGGTAAATTTTGATGGTACATCAAATTACGTAACGTTTTAATTCTTTTATATAGTACATGTAGTATTTATTTACTAACTTTACACAACCCTTTATCAATGATGCTTGCGTGCAGAACGCACAAAGATCAGCTTATGATGAGCAATCAATTTTTTACAAGTACTGCTAAAGTTATAGAAATTATTATGTTTTAAAATTTAATTTTAAAATTTAACGCATTAATAAGTTTAATGAGATGTTTTTCAACTTTTTGATAAAAAATTGTAAAACAAAAAAAAAAAAAAATGTTTTAATCGTACCAATTAATTTAAACTGGAAATAAAGTGTTGATACGCCAAGCACTCAGAAAGGCATAGCCCTTTCATTGAATATACATATATATATATATATATATATATATATATGTATATACACTAGTGGAAACTTATTTTCTACGGGCTTTGCGTGCCATTTTACCATTAGCAAACTGTAACTTTAAGTAGAAAACTTTTTCAGACATATTTTTTTTCGGCTTCTGGCTGTGTTAATAACTGTTACTGTATAGTTTTTATCACTTACATTGTAAACTCAACGTCACAAAAATTTCGTTCGTACAGTGTTCTTTTTTCTTTACTTTTTGTGGTTTTATGAACCCTTATTACTTTATATGAAATAAATTTTTCTAAGAATTTTTTAAAATGTTTTAAAAGCTTTTTATGGTTATTATAAGAATAAAATTTTCTTCTCGTTTGTGTTTTCTTATTTAAACAAATAGTAATTACTTTTTTTAAGCATTTTATAAAATAACTTTTTCAAAAATAACTTCCATAATAATGGTTTCTTAATATACTAACTTTTTAGGCAGGACCAATGTATGAGAGTGCTATATAATTTTTTTGGAGCAAAAAGTACTACCAGTTAGAAATTGTCTATCTTTAGTGTAAAACAGATTTTTCATTCTTGTATGAGGGTAACCTGAGTCAGTCACATAGTGTACGTGAGGAAGTATGTATGTATGTCATTGAGTTTTTTTAATGGAATTATTATCGAAATGGGCTGAAATTAAACAAAAAAACTAACTACTTAGCAGTAATTTTTTTGCATACCACTTACACGTTTGTAATTGCAGAGAGAATTGTAGATCCCGTTAAATGATAATTTCTTCACATCATACATTTTGCTCGAAATCGCAATACAGACGCTCTATGAAACATATAACATGCAAAAAAAGCTGAATAAACACGTTTTGCCGATAACAGAAAGAGATTCTTATGATACAATAAAATTTTAAGCACCAAAACTGTTGATTTTATTGGAATACCACTTTTTCGTACAGTAAGTTTTTTCTAAAGTACTATCTTAACGATGTAATCGACAAAAATCTTTAAAAAATAGCAAAAAAATTATTTAACACCATCTCAATTTTAAACAGCATATTTTAAAACAAAATGTTTAAGGTGAAAATTGTCGCTCTTCGAAACTACACTTTTCCTCATTGAATTATTTAAACTATTGTGTTTTGAGAAAGATACTTTATATCAAGAAAAATTTTTAAATGACTGAAAAATGTTTGTTTGTTTGAATTTAGAGTTATCATATTGGTTCTACGACCCAGTTAAATATGATAACAAAAAAAATATTAAAATTAAATGATGCTATTTAATCAACACTTTTTGCTCTGGCACCTTGTAGATTGGTCGTGCCTTACATGCAAGACATACTGTTTTGCATAAATGTAGCTGCTTGTAGAAACATAAGTAGATTTACTTCATGTATTTTTAATAAATTATTTTGCTATAATTCATTTTGACATTTTAAACTTATTTTTAAACTTTAAGGATTAACTATTAAAATCATACAATATTTATTATTCTCACACTGCTTAAGAGGCAAACAGTTTGGCTTTATAGTTATCATTATTGTTAAAAAAAATTTTTTTAATATATGTATACAGTTTATTACCGATGTAAATTATTTTGGAAATAAGTTCTTACGCTATTTCAAAATTAGGTTTAAAGCACGCTGACTTTCATAAAGTTATTATTATTACATAAAAATGTTAAAACTTATGAAAACATGTATTTTATGATGAACATTAAGTCTTTATTTAATGCACGAATTTAAACATTCTTGTAAAATGTCATTAAAAAAATGCCCCACAAATACAACTGTGAATTATAAAAAAAACTATGTATCAATCACGAAAGATGGTATAAGAGAAGAAAAAGTCTTCTGACACATGCTCAGATGAATATTTTACGAATACCCTCAAAAAAATGTGTGCATCAGTTACTTGCATTATATGGGGAAATGTTTATCATCAGAGTGATTCTAAATAAGTTAGTAGTGGTAGATATGTTGGTGTTGTGCTCGTCATTAGCCTAGAACATAAAGACATAGATCTTTTTTCAAAAATTAAACAGTATATTACGTACCTAAGCCAGAAAGTGGGGCTATTTCTGACCACACTATATTATTGGACAAGCCAAAAGTAAGGTCTGTAATGCGTGATCAATAGTAGCTTTACTTTCAGGCCATGGTACGAATACTTGTTTTCCTTTTACTTTCACTGAAACTTCGTCACCACGGTTATTGTTTCATTGAAAATAAACATACAATAAGTCAGTTTATTGCGTATTTATGTTCATTGATCGTTCGCATGAACAACGCTACTTAAATGCACGTAGACAAGTATGCACATGTATTGGTATACCTATCTATAGCACTTGTATGTCAGGTAACAGACCTCAGTAGTGGTGTGCAAGCGCATATTTTTACACTTTAATCATCGTGCAGGTTGGACGTGCAGGACATGCTGTCAATGCAAAAGGAAAAGCAACCTGAGAAATCAGTTTTGATCCGTTGCTGATCTGTTTTCAATTTTTTTTATTGTATCTGTGTAGGTTTCTTTACATACTAATTAATGATGTGAGTAAATATGGACGTATAAGGCCTATTTCAAGGACCCTCAGAATTTTTGGTATTAATGATATCTCCGGAACTGCTTAATAATATATTGCAAACATTTAAAGTTGTATAGTACACGTTTAAAAAGTTGTGATTAATTAAAAAAAAAAATATTTTCAAGGACTTAATATACTAATTTTCCAAGGACTACATATTTTCAAGGACTACATGTTTTCAAGGATATGAATATTCAACGGAACGACATTATCCAGGACTTACATTGTACATCTTTGGGGACTTTTTATTTTCCAGGACATGAATATTTTTATTACAAGGACTTCTTATTTTCAAGGACTTAAATATTCGTATTTCCAGGACTACTTATTAACAGGAATAAGCATATTTCAAAATAGTCTCTTATTTATGTTATAAATAGTTTATTGGTACAAGTTTTTGTTGCAATACTCTAAATTTTTCAGGACATAATATTTATACGAAAACTGATGAGAAACAAACTTCACGTCAAAACATGAAAACATACTTTCTTGTACCTCTCATTCAGAAGAAATAAGTTTTTTGATCATACTATCAACTTACTGTACTTAAGGTGGCTCCAGTGGCCTCAATGTTAAAATTATAAATAACCCAACCGAGGTTAATAAAATTGAATTATATTCTTTGAATTCCCATCTTTCTATTCGTATAAAAAAAAAATAAGGTTGACGATGAAAATTGTAAGAAATTATGCTTACAAAATCGTAGATGTAAGACAGGTTAGATAGAAAATGCAAGCTTACGCAATATACAACCTACTGCTGCACTTATATAAATAACCCGTAAGGTGTAAAAAATATACTATCTTGTATATATTATTACGCAGTTTTCGATGACATGAAAAAGTGTCTTGTCATCGAACAAAATCTTTAAATAATCGGAGACTAAGTATACAGTTGCGAGTGTAAGTCAGCTCTCAGCTGTCTGCATTCTGCAGAGTACATGTATATAGGTATAACTACTCTTGAACTTAGGAGCGTACCGTAACAGTTCATCAATTAGGGCACCATAAAACTCTTTTGTTTTTTTATATTAACTCACTAAAGTAACAGATAAAATGTATAATATGGCTTACAACAGTCTCTACGATAATTTTATACCATATTTTAAAGAAAATAATAATTATTTTTTAGTCTCCCCATTTTGATACGGCACTAGGCGCTGGAGCCACCTTAAATCGATTTACTTAAATGTGCATGCTTTTCCGTATCTGAAAGTGAGAGAAAGGGAAAGCTATTTAATGCTTGTTTTACTGCAGGAACTAAAAATGGAGATAAAATTACTTTATTAACATAGGTACTTTTCTCTACAATAATCGTAAAAAGTTTGTAGAAGTTTTTACTTTACACTACCTCATACACTTACTTAATGTGGTATGTAACCACACAGAAATAGTTGCTTTACTTCAAGTACTAAATCTCAAGCAATCTACAGTATTGGGTTAGAAAAAAGCTTACATAGAAAGTATTTGAAAATCTATACACATTAAATGTCTTAGATTTAAGCTCTTTACAGCAATAGATTTACATGTAATGTTGTAAAACAAAAGAAATTAGTTGAAACAATTTTTTTATATATTTAAGTTTTTTTTTCAATTTTTTATTAAAGGTTATATTCAATGCTCGCTTACGCGCATTTTCGTCATTTACAAGCACAAATCATATATTTTCTTTTAAGCGCACAAAAGAGCGTATTGTAACGAACTTTGAACAAAAGGTGAAAAAAATGCAGTGTTATTTAGCATTAGTATGCTTTTAACAAAATTAATTTTTTTTAATAATAAGATCTAACCCAAAAGAAATTGTATGAAAAAGTGGTACAACGCTTTGGTTCTTTCAAGTTATAAAATAAATCACCTCATGATTACAGCTAGCAATATGACAAATACAAATAATTTATTTGTTT